AAAGGACATTTGTTCTTACATGAGCAAGTTAAACCTTTTAAATGGTAGAAAAGCAATATGTAGAAGTAGCAATTTGCACTGCATTTTTATATATCACAGCCATTACACGTAACATTTCTACAGTGAAAAAATAGACTGTCTTTGAACATAATATGAACAAATAAGCAAATTTTTCTTTTAAATTCATTGACTGATATTCTTTGTGTTTTTTTTTAAAAAAAAAGGAAAAAATACACTATTTAAAAAAAAAAAGTAATGTCACTTGTTACAGTTACATCGATACTTTAAAGAAAGCCACTCACAGTATATGCCATTGAATGCATCTTTCTTGGTCTTTCCCAGTTATTTATACAGCTAGGGCATGTTCGTAGCTGTGCCAATGGGCTCGGTGTGACGTGGTACCGGGACAGTCCTGAGAGTATCTCTGCATTGCTCCCGGAGAGCCGCCGTGTTCAGAGATGAGGGGTTGGCAGCAAGAAGTGGTTGGCTATTGGATATAAATTTCTTACGGGTGTTTCTTGGGCTCCTTTCAGAGAGACGCTCCTGGCCTTCTGCAGCAGGAACTGGCAGGGCGGCACTGCTGCTTGCAGCAGAAGTGGGGTTGTGTGAATGTGCAAAGAGAATGGGAAAGGGGCTGCCTTTCTTTGCGGGGTGTCCCACCACTGCTCAGATTAATGCCTTTGTGTTAGCTGGATGTGCTGAAAAGGGGGAACAGAACCAGCAGTCAGCGAAGCCAGCCCAGGGGAGCTGCCACCTCTACCTTTCCCACCAGTGTGCAAGGGGAGGGGGCCACATCACACAGCCAGGTCTGGGTTTTATATCTCTCTCTCTTTCTCTATAATTTTAAATATCCTAAAAAATAAATTTTGGAATTAGAAGAAATGAGGAATGTTCCAAGTATTCAAAACGTGAGCTATAAAACCTCTCGCATGGCAGGGGCATTCAGTGAATGCTGTTTGCAAGGTGCCTGTAAGCCCAGAATCATCCCAATGTTGATACTGAGGTTATTAAGACTCCAGCTAGAAGAACTCCTGACCCTAAGTTTGCCTAAGTGTTGAGATTTAGTTCCTTTTTTTATCTTTTACAGAATACCTTCAATTCTGCAAGTGACTTCCTTTAAAGACTGCCAACTATATTAGTAAATAAACTGAACTCTAATGATGTAACCAAAGTCGGTTTCCTTCCCTTCTCCAGCGGTAACATTTCGCAAGGCGTTTTAGCTTTTGGATCTGTTTCATGATGTCCATACATCCTCCACAGCGAACACCACTTGAGGTAACAAGAGCAGTTCACCACTTAAAGCAGTCCTTCAGCAATCTCCTGAGCTGCCTCTTCATGGTCCAGGTTACAACACGGAGTTCCTGAAGGGGTGTTCCTTTCAATCCTTCCCCCGGCTCCCCAATGTATTGTCCAGATGAAAAGGTACTTCTTCTGATTCAGTTTTGTAAGTTCAAGTGCTCCTCCTGGGTCAAAAGAGGCCTTCCAGGACTTAAGTGGTTGGTAGAGTCTGCACAACGGATGGCTTTTTATGTTGCATAGTGATCAAAACTTCCCAGATACTCCAGAGCTGCCTGGTAACAGAACTGGTACTCATCCTGCAAACAGTAAAGAGAACCAGCTTCAGAGGTTTGAAACAGCTCGTCAGGATGCCTGCCCTGTTTCCAGCTAGCACATACCCGGGCAGGAACCATGCACAGACTCTTTTATTCTCAAAGAGCTGTGAAATACTGGGGAAGGAAATCCCTTCCCTTTATTGTTTGTGCACCTCCTAGATACCAATCATCCCACCACTAACCTTTCTAGCTCTGTAGCCAACGTGGGTTCTGTTTAGAGGCAGATGAGTCCCCCTTACCTCAGAGGCAGGAATAAGAATCAGGGCTGGCAGACTGGGATGAAATCTTTAAGAGACTTTATGACAATGGGATTTTTTTTTTTTTAATTAGTGAAGTAAGATCAGCAGCGCAGCCTGGGCTTGCTTTACTCTTCAGGTAAGGTTTAGTGGTTAGAAAGGCAAAAAGCCCGCTCCGCTCAGGCAGGGCAGCCGCGGGATTGGTCTGCAGCAGTGGTGCTTGGCTACTAACTGCGACAGAGGATGGCTTCCCCACTCCCCCTTACCTCTGTTTGCACCATAGCAGGTCGTTGTGTTCGCAGCATCTTTACTGTCTGGAAAATATCTACAACACCCTCATAACGCATTCTTTCCAGGACGATACTCAACGTGATAAACACTCCAGTTCTGCCCACACCAGCACTGCAGGAATGGGAGGAAAAAAAGGAAACTGTATGTTAAAACATTCAAATGCTTTCCTAAATGCTGAGGTTATGGTATGGTTGAGCTAACAGCTGTGTCTTATGAACGTGTTAGAACTGGAGAGCCTCAGTCAGTCCTCCAGGAGGCAGGAAATAGTAAAACTGCCAGTGTGTGTGACGCAAAACAAATGTTTGAGAGACTGACATAAAAAAATCAAAAGCTTTGGGTAGTGGTAAACAGCATTCAGTGTGAAAATTATTACTAATATGTAACATTAGGCTTTTTAAATTAAATAATTTGAAGAATGCATTATTTTCTGCTGCCCAGGGGTAGGGAGGTACAATTCTTGCTATCAGCAAACACAAGCCAGCAGTGTTAGAGGTGCAGAACCAATATAAAACCACTTTTAATTCTGCAGGTCAAATATTGATTAACACTGTGGTTACCATTTCCTTCAGATATCAGCATTTCATCGCTCTCCCCTAGATAAAAGGGTCAAAGGCTTAGTGGGCAGTGCTCAGGTCTGAAGGGAGATGAGTTTGGCAGAAGCAACAGTGCTTGGCACCCCCACCTCCAGCCACCCCCAAGAAATCTGCCTGGAAAGATGGGGTGGGAAAGGAGGGAGATATCTGCAGGATTTTAATTTCTTCTGCTCTTTTGCATCCTCAGATAAATTAGATGTTTCCATTGACGCATGCCTACCTGCAGTGGACAGAGATGGGGCCATCCTGGCCAAACTGTTCCTTGGTCTTATGTACCTGTCCAATGAAATCGATAAAACCTTCTCCTGATTTTGGCACGCCTTGTTCTGGCCAGTCAGTGAACTGGAACTGACGAACAGTTCGTGACTGACCATCCTAGGGGAGAAAATAGTAGTATTTAGAACATCCTGTATTTGTGGTACAAAATATAAAAGGCAAAAAAACCCCCCCATTTGGTTGCTAGTTCATGAAGGGGCACAAATAGTTGAGACAACTTTGTGTTATAATCACATGAACATTT